AATGAGGGTGAGGGAGAAAAAAAAATACAGACATATTTGTCAATAAGGAGTGAGTATGTATGAGAAGAGCATGGTTAAAAAATGGAAGCCATGGCCAGGGCCAGATGTCTCAGGTTCCAGGTAAGTGGTTTTCTAACACTGTAGCATAAATTCAGAGCCTGGACACTGCTTGAAAACTTTTGTTATGCACTGACACACTGATAAACGTTTCTACAAAGATCGCTACTGTAATTAGCACCTATTATTGGTATGGCTGCAGATGGAACATTAAGGCCATGATTTCCTATTAATTTACACTAGTAAATGGTTAAGTCATCATTATTATTTGCTGGCAGAGGCCAGCAAATATGACTGTCTAGGGTAGAGCAAAGTATGAAAAATAAGGGCTATTTCAAAGAGATATTTTAGATAAATACTTTCTTTTAGAATCTTCTCTTCATAATGCATTTCTACTTTCAATTGTATGAATAATTTGCAGTAAGGTTCAATTTGTTGTCAAAAATAGCACTTAGCTGCTTTCATACATTTTAATATATCTTCATGATGTATTAAATTAATGGATCACCTTTGGTGATTTATACATCCTAATAATTTAATACATCCTAATGGTCTCAGGAATCCTATAAAGAAATGTAACATCCTTCAGTGTTTGTAAAAATGAAAATTGCTGTTGTTTCAAATCAAACATAAAGGATTGGATTTCAAAACAAAGATCGTGTGGGGAAATGGGACAGTCTTTTGAAAAAAGGACCCAATAATTGTAAAGATATCTGAGTGCTGATTGTAATTCTGTAAACTCAGATATTTATTTTGCTCCTTTCAACAGAGTTATTGAGTTCTCATGGACTCAAAACAGAGGTGAATGGAGACACTGAAGTAGTTTGGTTTTTAATAGAGAATTTGAGAGTCTCTATTCCCTAAGTCCATTTCTCTTCCAAGCACGCCCATCCAAGCTGTGGAGCTCTCTTTTTGCACCTTCCTCACTAATTCAGAACATGAACACAGTAGCAAAGCACAGTAAAACACTTCAAGCCTGAAGTCCTCTACAGGCCTTTGAGTCTGTACGTCCATTGCCAGGAACTTGGGGAAGCGTCTCCCAGAATGTTCCAGTTCCTTTCCAAGTCAGCTGCTTTGCTACCATGTTTCCGAGTCCTTCCCAGTACACTGAATCTTTTCAAATAAAGGGAGCTGGTTGCATTACATGGCAAGCAACTGCTATTTACAAAAAATTTCCAGAGCCTTTCTTTCATGCATGCCATTTCTGTACCTCGGTTATGAGTGCAAAACCAGAAGCCTGGGCAATGATGTGTTTTAACGGGCAGAGTCTCAAATGTGAAGTCAAGTTCATGATTCCTATTTCAGATGAACAGAGCTGTTGAGTTTTAGGACAACACAAAAAAAGATAGTTTCTTGGAGAATGATGCTTATCTTTTGTGGAAAGACCAGGATTCCATGGAATGATTTCTACCTTAGCATCCAGGTTGAATCCACAGTCATCCTGCTGAATGTTGCTCTGCTGAGGTTTGATCAATTTGTAGAAATGTAGCTCTAACTTCCAGCTAATTGCTATTTTAGTTGGTGCTTATTGTTATTATTATTATTGTCACTAAACATTTATACTACAGTTCATCAAGCTTTTTCAATCATGGTTGACATGTTAATCTACTAACTACTGCATAGGTAGATTGACTGAAGAATTTATCATCTCATATAAATAGCAAATATAGAGGCTAAAACAATCACAGTGTATACCTGACATATATCTTTTATTTTTTGAAAATAGGATGAATTTTTGAAAATACAAGGGTACGCTGCTATTCCTCTTTCTCTTGACCCATACTAGAGTTTCTCCTTAGGGTAACCAGCCCTACATTATCCTCTCATCAACGTTGTTATCTCCAGAAGCCAAAAAAGCTGAGAGAGCTTTCTAGGTGGAGTGAACCTCTCAGGAGACAAGTGAGAGCTACAAAGTGCTAGTTGTATGGACAACAGGGATGGAGCTGAAAAAAACCCAAACCACTAGATCCAAATGGTTATGTCAAAACCTGCTGTTTGCATGTGGACATTTTTTCCCATCTTGCAAGTACCAGTGTGTTCTTGCCCCCCCCCCCTAATTTCCTTTTATATTGCCTGAATAGCAGAAAAAATGAAGTACATTGCGGCTACTTCTTCCTGGAAACTCCAGGCATCCTGTGGGCCACTGCAATTGTACTGATTTGCAAATCCTGAAACCAGTACCTAAGTCCCTCAGTTACCTTCTAAGTCCCTCAGTTACCTACCCATGGTCCCATAGAACTTTGGTGAAATTATTATTTCCTGACCTTCTAACTAATCCCTTTGGTGACAGTGTTGTAGGAAGATGAGGAACAAAGCAAGAGAAGGGGCTTAGAAAAGAGCTTGCCACTGAAATCATTGTTTCTAAGAGCACGTAGCTGCAAAATGTTTGAACAGTCACACAAATCCAGAACAACATGGAACTCACCCATCTGCCAAGACCTCCTTTTATTTTCTGCTTTATACATGATCTCTTATTTTAGATGCTTCTTTCTGAGAAAGAAATTTACCATAAATGTTTTTTTTTAGCTTTGTACATTTTTTTGGGCAAAGATCTTGGAACTGGCATCTACCAACAGGAAATCAGTTGTCACAGGAATCATTAGTGACTGTGTGTACCGGATACATTTAAAAGCTCCATTTGTATTCTTGCATGTATTGTGGATATTCAGAAATTTCGACTCAGTGACCTGCCTGGAGAACATAACTGTTTTCAGCAAACAATGAGACAAGTTCTCCAATACTTTCTGCTTAACTTTTTTCATAAACAAGTAACTACCCCTGTATTTCTTCCATGATTAACTAACTAATTCATTTGTGAAGAAAAGATTTCTGAAGCCATTTGGAAGAGTGCCCTATAGTGACTTTACTGCTATAACAATAAACCTGACTTCAGAAGTGATATTCCACACTTTTTCTAAGTCTTGCTTTCATTTTTCATTCTTTCTTTTGATTCTTTGTTTAAATCATTGCCTTTGAACAGCTGGAAGGCGCTTCGTAACGTCCTCTGCTATTTGCCAAGCCCAGGTTATGCCTACCATGCAACGTGTGCTGCCATTTCCATTAAGCTTTAGAAATGTCTGCTTTGAAATTAATTTTTAATCTTGCAGTGGCACAAACTTCCAAGAGGGTTTTCTCATTTGTTACTGCTCTCTGTGAAGCAGGAGTTGCTCATGCCTAAGGCAGGGAAATGCAATGCACTACTAATTATTTGTCTCATATTGCATCATAAATGGTTATTGGTTTGCCAAAGCAACTTACACCAATCTTCATTAATAACTTAAATGTGAGCAACTCTGTATAAAGTAACTTCAAAAGAAAAATATGTCAAATTGTTTTCCCTTGAACTTTTCCAATCTAGTAATTAACCACATATTGCACTTATTAATCTCCATAGTAACCTCTACATTTTACATGTGTGTAAGATAGAAGAGGGGAGACAGGCAAACAATGAATTTGGGGGGTTTTATCAATAGTCTTTTCCTCACACAATCCATTGATGAGCCCCAAACTTTTCCTTAATCTTTGATTTCTCTTTAGAGGACAGCACAGTTGCTGTGTGTCCATGTACAACTGACCTCCCCTGCAGAGAAGGCAGCTTGTCAGATGTGTGTAATTGCTGAGCAGTTTGCCCTTTGTTGTTCTAATAAAACAATTTGAGGTAACAGTAACTACCTTCACTCTGAAGTGACAACTTAAAGGTTTTGAAAGTAATCTTAACTCTGTCCTACTGCACATTTAGTTGGTGATTAAGACATACATAATGGACAATGACTTCTAGCAGAATATATGGACTTGGATAATATTGTAAATTTGTGTTTAAAGGGAAAACATGAAATTAGTACCTATTCTGGGGTATACTGAAATGACAGCCATTGTGGAAGCATGTTCATTTAAACAACCTTAAAACTTCTGCATCCTTTTATATACCGCAACAGGTCATATGTCCAGGACATCATATTTTTAAAGGACAAACCATGGTACCAAAGGGCATGTGTTTTCCTCCTGTGTGGGGCAACATACCTATGTTCAATGAGAGGGAGAGGGAAGCTGGGTCATCTACACCAGAGGTGCATGTTATTTGTAGGAGCATGGACAATCTCCAACAGCCCTGCTGGCACCTTTCCCCCAGGAGATGGATATGTCAGTGTGGGGAGAGAAGCAGGTGTCTGACTCTGCTGTCTGGTGCCTGTCCCCACAGTAGCGGTGTGAGGAAACAGAAACAAAACGAAACTTTTGCCTTTGCGCAGCCTTGCCCTCATTTAACCATGAAAGCTGGGTCTTGTTCCACTGTTCTGGACCTCCGCCTGTTCTTCCACAAAGGGACAGGACTAAGCAGGAGCCTGCTGCCCTCATGACAGTTGCTCAGGCTGCTATGGGGCTGATGGCCAGGCCATCATGATAGAACTGATGGCCAGGCTGCCGTGGGGGTGCTGGTGAGTGAGGCTGCAGTGAGGGTGACGATGAAGCCACTGTGGAGGTGATGGTGAGTGGCATTCGGGAGGGATATCCTAGACAGCTTTGGGGGTGATAGCCAAGCCGTTGCGGGACTGTCAGCTGCTGCTGCTATGAGAGCAAGGATGCTGTGGAGGTGGCGGTGGATGCTGCCTCGGCTGTCGTGGGGCTGACGGTGAAGCCGGTGTTGGACTGACAAGCGGGCTACAGAGGGAAAGCCTGCGCCACTGTGGGGGTGACAGCGAGGGGACCGAGCCCATATCAGGCCGAAGCTGCTGGGGGCGGGTGGGGGTACCTCCCCCCCAGGGCCCCTCCACCTCCACCTGCCCCGGGCCCCCCGCGGCCCCGCCCCGGGCCCGCCGGGGGTGGCGGGGGTGTCGCTGCCGGGGACGCGCTGGCGGCGGAGGAGGAGGAGGAGGCGGGAGGAGGAAGGCGGCAGCAGCAGCAGCTCGGGAGGAGCCTGTCCAGCGTGAGACAGCACATTCAGCCGGCGGCGGCGGTCCTGCCGCAGCGGCGGGCGGTACGGCACGGCACGGCACAGCTCGGCTCAGCACGGCTCAGCTGCCGGCCTCAGCCGTTCGGTCAGCGAGGCATCCCTCCGCTCCCCCGGCGGCCAGGGCTCGGTGAGGGCTGCGCGGCTCCGGGAGCCCCTCCACATCTCCCGGGCGCCGGCGGAGGTGAGGCACCCGCGGGGACGGCGGGGCCGGGACGCGGCGGAGGGGCGAGCGGGGGATGCCCTTGGGGCCCGGCGGTGGCCGCAGAGGGGCCGGGCGGGGTTCGCTCCTCGGGATGCTCCGCGGCCGCAGAGCCCGGCGGGCGGCCCGGCGGGGAGAGCGGCATCCCCGGCTGCCCGCAAGGACCGCCCGGCCCTCGCCGCGGGTGGGCTCTGGCTCTGCCACCCCGGCGGCTCCTCTGCGGGGAGGGCTGCGGGGAGCGAGCTCCGCTGGCCTCGGCGGCACCTGCTCCGGTCCCTGGGGCGCCTCCCGGCCCCGGCCGCGAGTGGCTGCCGCAGGTTCCCGGCTGGTGGCTCAGCGCTGAGCAGCTTAAAGCAAACGGGGGTGGTAAAAGTTTTCCATCTATAATTTTTTTGCACAGCGTAAGCAGTAGCGGGTTTATTCAAGTCCACGACGACAGCGGAAAGTAAATAGATCTTTTTTCCTTCCTAAGGTAATTTCCTAAAAGGGTGAGAGAAGGAGGGTGTCAGTCAGAGGCCTTTTTTCACCAATAGTCCATTGAAATAGATTTTCAAAAGGATGTTATTGCAGTTACATCATCCCAGGAATCCCTCAGGGTCAGCAGAGAGCATAAGACCCCAGATATTTCCTAGGCAAAGCCCTTAAATTACTGACTGGAACAAAATTCGCTTTTCTGTCTCTATTGCCATTGAAAATACAAATTTCAACTATAAATGCATATAAAATAGGGACTCTCAGCAGACAAAGTGGTCTAACCTGAGGGTATAGGGGTGATGAGATGGAAAGACCTGATAGAAAGTTGGCATGTTACTTTGGCACCTGGTAATTTATCGTGACGTACAGGGTTTTGTCAGTGCTTTGGTTCTGCATGAGGACATTAAGTTACATCTGAAATGGCTCTAAATATCGTGAAGCACAGGACTGCAAAACCTGTTTCAGAATGGAAATCCAAATCCCAGGACCATCTATCTCCTGATAGATGGTGCTATCAGAGCCACTGAGGAATTTAATTTCTGTCACTACCAATGTACTTTGTTGAAGTCCCTCATTTGTTCTTCCTAAGTTAATAGGCAAAAGTTACATGTTTTCTATCCTGATGCTTTTTATTTTTTTACTTTCTTTCGAGAGGGCATCTCTAGGAACATTCTCCACAGGTGGGGAAGACAGGTAAAATTCCTTCTGTAATTTCTCTGTAGCATTTCTTTGCAAGAATGAGGTTCTTCAACTCAAACCTTGTGGCTGCATCCAGGTTTTCTCCCCATGGGAGTACTCACGCTGGTAACCATCCTCTGCTTTATTTTCTTTTCCCAAAATCATCCATTGATAGACCATGAACACAAAAAATGTGTTGCCCCTTCTCTACCTTCTTTGTGAACAGATTATTTTGAGGATTGGAACTTGACATCGTCTTCCTTTGAATATGTAAGACTTCTGAGGGAAATAAAGCTGGAGATCCAAGAGATTGTTTAGAGTTGGATTAGCTAGATTTCTCCTAGCTCTAAGCATTTCTGCTTCAAACTAGTCTACCCTAAAAATGCACTAACTGCAGTACTGCCTTATCTTATTCCTTTAAGACAGGAATCTTTAAAGGAGTAGCAATAAACCACACCCTACATATACAGTGGTTACCGGGAGTTTGGAAATCTGGCTACTCAAAAAATAGTCAGGGAAATGCTCTTTTGTACCCTGAAGATCTTAAATTAAGAAGCTGACCTTCCAGCTCTTTCTATAGGAGGAAGGGCAGTGAGCTGCCCTCCTTTGTGATGCCTTTCAGTTGCTATTTTTTTCGTTATTGAAATGCATTTGTATTTTTCCAGCTTCAGGTTTCTGGTTCCTGTTATGCCTCTCATAGATAAAAGCTTTGCTTTAGCAGCTGTCTTCAGTGTAGGTACTCCAAATGATGCACGAGAACTTACCTGCTTTATTTTCAAATAAATTAACAGATCAAGTCTCTTGGTCTTCTTTTCTTTTGTAAGACAGGTTTCAAGAGTCATTCCTTGCTGCCATCTGTTTTCCAATCTGCCAGAAGACAGAGGGGGAATACTAGGTAGAGTTGGATGGAGTGGGTCCCACCGTTGCAGAATATTTGACAATGATGCGAAATGGACTGGAAGGGAAAAGGATAAGGAATTGAAATAGAAAAACATAAGGCATTGTCGTTTTTCAAAGCTTCACCAACTCCTGCTAATGATTCATATAATCATGTGATAACTTTCAGCTCCTCAAACTTAACTTCTGCTCACAGAGGTTTAAAGCATGCTCACAATTCCTCTCTAGAACTATTCAGGCTTATTAACAAGGGTTGAGTGCCTTGTTGAGCTCCTTAGGCTTGGTTTGACCAACAACAGAAGTAGTAATTAGTAATCTTTCAGAGTCACTGATGCCCAGTGCCAAAATGACTTGCTACTTGGAGGTGGTAGGGGAATGTTGATAGAATGATCTTCCCTGTCCTACCTAGCTTTTATTTTCATGTGCTAGCTTTTATTTTCATGGAAGTTGGTTGGAGGTAACATTGAAATCCTCTCTAAGGTGCATGTGGAAATTCATATCTGCAGAGATATGGTCTCAGGCTTCCTACAGCCATAGCCAGATATCCTGATCTCTCAGCGCAATGCTCATCTGATACTTTCAGATTTTTGTTTTAAAAACTTGAAATGAAATAGTGTCTGTAGATAAAATCTGCATGTAAAAGGGACGTTTTCCAGACAAAATACCAATGGAGTATGCTGGCAAAGTGCCCTTAGTACAGATGCAACTTGTGCTAGTAAAACTGTGCTTTTGCCAGTGCAGTTTATTTTTGTATCGGAGCCCCTGGTGGTCTAGTGGCTAAGGGCGCGGCGCTGTCCCTGCCGAGACCCAGGTTCGATTCCCGGTCAGGGCCACTCCCGGGCAGGTGGAGCTCGTTAGCCCTTAAAGGCAACCCATCTACGTCCTAAGGACCTCGCTGCCACCGTCCAAGCTCGCTTGGCCCCGGCAGATGAACCTTAGGATTAAAGGGTGGGCTCAGTTCCGCGCACACTGTGTCTCACCTAAAAAAATCCAATGCGCAGGCTGGAAGGTGTAAAGACCTTCCCCGGATCTTCGCTCGCGAAGACTGGCCATTATTATTATTTATTTTTGTCATCTGAGCAACACAAGTCATACAGGTGAGCACATGTTTATGTGTCCATGAGGGGCCTTGCTTTCTGGATGAGGGACTGAATGGTCTTCCCCTCAGCTGGCAGATGTAAGCAGGCAGAAATGAAAATGCAGGAATGATACTGTGTAACAAACAGAAAATTTGAAAAAAATGTGAAAGAAGTATCTGAAAAGCTGTAGTGGCAGCCTGAGACGCTGGCTCAGTCTAAATCTCAGATAGATGCAATATGTCCCTTTAGCTACTTGGTAATTATCTATCTAAAACAGTGCTAGCCCTTTTTAGTTAGAGATGACATTGGGAGCTGTTGTTCACTTGGCCATCTGCAAGCATTCAAAATAAGGCAGTATACATGAGCTTGCTCCACCAGTACTGTTCATTTTACGTGGCATCAACTTGCCAACTTTTTGGGGAAATGGCTACTTCCAGGCAGATGGCAGGAGCTGCAGGAAGCCACAAAGCAGACTGATGTGTGAGCCAGCAGATCTTATAGATACAAGATACCTCTGATCATCTGTGACAGGTGATGTACCAACTCTTCCTGAGTTTAAAATAAAAGCCCACCTTTTTTTTTTTTTTTTTCCCCTGTGCTTCATCAGCACTTTTTGTCCTCCCCTTTTGAGGCAAAAGCATTCTGATGAGTATCTGGGAGTTCAGTGCTGCATGGAGGAGGCATGGAGCAAGAATGACAATTCTTGAAGCGTTTTGTGGGTAGCACACCATAACTTCATGGTGAAGTTTTAAGGGCAGAAGGCTCACCCTGTCACTGCTGACAGTAATAGGAGTTTCTCTGTGACTTCTCTGGTGGTGAAACTAGCCTCTAGAGTGACGGTAGAAGTCAGCTATGTACATTGAGAGCCACAATGCATCACCATACTCTATTGAAGGCAACAAGAGTCTTCATTGACTTAAAAGACTTTGGATGAGGTCCTGTACAACTTCTGCACTGACCTGGGTGCAGACATCTGTGCTACCTGATGAATAATCACTGCTTAGATGACTCTTGTGATTTTTGGCTATTAATCTTACAGTAAAAGTACTTATCCTATTTTTATATTTAAAGCTGCTCTCATGCATTTGGATCAGCTTGCCTGATCCGGAGAGACAGGTTGCATCAACCTGAGCAGGAAACCTCCTGGGAGCCCTTCCGGAGCAGTGCAGTTCTACACCTGCAGTTTCTCAGGTGCTGGCTGACTGTCCCTGCTTGGCCCTAGAATAATTAATGAATAATTCAACAGAAGGAAAAGGCTCATTTACTGCCACTCAGCAGAAAACAATTACAGAGGGAATCTTTTAAGGACATAACTTTTTGTTTTCAGTGATATCTTTTCTTCACATTTCTTTTCCCTCTTGCTATCGCTCCTTTTCTCTTTTCCTCAATACTTGTCTTACCGCCACATTCCCTCCTCACTGGTATTCCTTTCCCCTTTGTCTTCTCTCCCTGGCATAGAACTGATTTTAGTTCCTTGCTCTTTTCTCCCTCCATCTGTGGTGTGGTACAAATAATACTAAATCCTTCTCCTCAGTTACTGATCTTTCACTTCAGCCCAGCAGAAAGATGCAGTGTGTTTCGTGTTCAAACAATGGGGAGTTATAGTAGGGCAAAGACACAAAACTGCCTACTATGATTAAATATAAATAAGTTTAGTGGAGGTTATATTTTTTATCTGTTTATATCACTATATCCAAGCCTTGCTTGATTATAATATTTTCAGGCTGAATTTGACAGAAAAATCTTTGCTATGATATGCTATGTTAGTGTTGGCAGTTAATCACTGTAGGTCTTAGACCACATGCAGAGAAAATATGGATTTATCTTGCTTTAAACTGTTCACCCTTCCGTTCT